TTATATTCTATTTATTAATATAAATCAGTTCATATAGATTTTGAATTTAAAGTCTTGCTTTTAGGCTTACATTAACTAATCTGTCACGACAGCATAACATAAATACTTAAGAGCCTAAAAATTATTTTAAGCACTTTAAGAGTGTTTTTCAGCAAAAAGAAGATTCATTGAAGTCATGAACTCATCAATGTTAGACAAAGTTGGAAACCTGGGAACAATAGATGGTCATTTCGTCTCAGTAATGGAATCCTCAGTGGTGTACACTCATGACCTTGCAAGTGACGATCGACCTTCAGTATTCCACACGAACCATTATACTCTAGATCTCTGAGTCAGCATCCAATGGTGTTTATGTGTAATTCATATCAATCCATGAATTCCATTAGAGCGCCGGAAACTTCCTCACAAATCTTGTCACTAGTGAGCACATGATGATTGTCAGTATAGCGTTGTGGAGATTGTTGACCGGTTCAAGATTTCAACAAAACTCAACAATCTCCTCATCTTTATACTTACAAATACAAAATTATTTCTTTCTAATTTCATATCTTCACGGTTATTTTCAATCTAATAAAATAAAAAATTTGTAAGCTATTATTAATTTCCTAATCGAACGAGACAATTAACTGAATGACATAAGATGTAAATTTCTTTCTTTCTTTAGAAAGAGATAGTAGTTAACAATTTTTTAAAATTGAGATCATGAACTGATTGATGTTAGGCCACCATTAAAAACTTGAAAGCACTGAACGGCCGTTTCGCCCTATTGTGGGACTCCTCAGAAGTAAGCATGCACGACCCCGCTCTCATGGTTTTAACCTAGGGCCTTCGGTTTCACGAGCGAACACTTAACCTCTAGACCACTAAGCCGACATCGAACGGTGTTATTGTCTAACCTTAACGAATTTGCGAAATTGCGCGACCATCTTCCATTGTACTGAGGTAGATATGTCTCTACCTGACATAGATCAACTCCACTGGTCACGGCTTCTCACTAGAACTCCGAGAATTCCTTCACGAAGCTAGTTACTAGTGAGCAAATGGTAATTTTCAGTATAGGGTTGTGAGGATTATTAAGTTGTTGATTGAGATCACGAACTGATTGGTTTTAGACCACCATTGAAAACCTGGAATCACTGGACGGCTGTTTCGTGCCAGTATGGCACTTTTCAGCAGTGGTGGTCTAGCTCTAATTGATTCATGAATTCAACTAATGAAGTACCAAAATCCCTAGAAAACCCCCTTCTGAAAATAAATATCAGTTTACTATTTATTGTAAAAAACATGTGTTTTTGTTGATGGGTTTCTTCAAGTTTGATTACACTGCCGTTTGCTCCATCCTAGAATGTGATTTCTTAACAGAGTGCAACAAAAAACGATCATGGATTGAACAAAGGAACTTCTGATTTTATGCTTAATCTTTAGATCGTTGAGTTACCATCGGATAGGTTAAATTTCCAACTTAAATCAATCCACAATTCAAACAGACTATAATCCAACGCTGTCAATAATGTTAATAAATTGGACTTCACCCGTCACGGTATTCTGTCGGCTACAATCAGCAACAACCTACTGTTGGAGAGAACAAACCAGCCTCCAACTGAGAAGGAAATTAGGAAAAAAACGATGGAAGTGGATAGGTCACATATTGAGAAAATCATTAAATTGCATCACTAATCAAGTACTAACTCGGAATCCTGAATAGAAACGAAAAAACAAAAACAATGGAAGACCAAAGAGCACACAGCGTCAAGAATTAGATGCAAACGTGAATAATAACTGAAAACAAGTGGAAATGATTGCCGAGGATAAAGTTGAATAGAAAATACTGTTAACTGGTCTATTCTCCTCTATGAGGACTAACAAGTATAATTAAGTAAGTCACAATATTCTACTAAGATCTTTAGAATTATTACCCATCAAAATGACATGGTATTATGCGTTGTTTTTTTTTCAACAATACATTCTAAAAAAAATACATTGAATCACATCATTCTATAAAAATAACACTTAAAGTACTCGCTTTTAAAGTGCATTTATTATTGAATACTAATGTCATTTATTATTATTATAAACTGTTTAAATTATGATTATTATATTATTAAAATGTTGTCGGTCATACTGCACTTCTCTTATTCCTTTACTTATATACATAATGACCTTTAATAAATTTGTCATAATCACAAAACTTCCAATTGATATGCCATAGTAACAATTTAAACCTTTTTTTCAAAAAAAAAACCCAACGTATTTCACTACTACATAAACATTGATTTATGAAAAACAAAAAAAATTTTTTTCATGCTTTGAAATTATGAACATGTACATGAAATAATATCGATTATGATTATGTAACACATAGTGCTTAATCCCTTCAGGTGAAATAATAGTAACAATAAAAAGAGATACTGGCCAGTGATGTAATCATGAATTGTTTTAATTTATGCAATTTTAAACATTTACTAAACTTAAGAAATATAAACAGATATTTCACTGGTTGAAATCATGAGCCAATTGAAGCTAGACCACCATGGGAAACCTGGAAGTACTGGACGGCCATTTCGTTCTAGTATGGCACTCTTCAGCAGTGAGCATCCACAATCTCGCCCCCCGCGAGATTCGAACCCGGGACCTATCACGCACGCGAGCGCTTAACCAATAGACCACTGATCCGACCGGCATTCAACGGTGTTAATGTTCAACTTCAACCAATCAACGAAGTTGCGCCACTGTACACCATTGTCTTCAGTGAGCTGATATCTCACAACAGACCTGGTTGAACTCCACTGGTAACGGCTTCTCACTAGAACTCCAGGAGTATCCTCTGAAGTCAGTCACTAGTGAGCAGGTGATTATTATTATCAGAATGGGTTTTGTGGTGCTTCCAAGTTTTTCATGGTGGTCTAGCTTCAATTGACTCATGATTTCAACCAGTGAAATTTCTAAAAAAATCTCCACAAAACCCATTCTGGATAATAAATAGATATCTTAGACTATGAAATTGTGTAATGCAAATTAGAATCTGTTTTAAGAGCATTAATTGTTTTCAAAATTCTTGATGAGTTTTAATTCGTATGAAGTTTAAACCAATCAAGGTTACATATTGATTACATAAAACCGCTTAATATTAGAAATTCGAAATATTAGATTCCAATTCAGTGACTTAAAAAAAGAGGACTTAAATATCTTTATTTGATATTCTAAATGAATCTGTGGATGTGTATTGTTGAGATCTTGAAAAATTATTTGGTGATTTTTGATCTGAAATGATACTACAGTTGAAGTTGGTCCTCGATGGACACTTACACAAAACCATCCTTTTGAATGCATATATATATAAATAACATTTATAATCAGCTTCATAATATATACGTTATTATAAAATAACTGAATTTCGATTAACAAAAATTAGTATAATGACTGTTTTCCCCTAAAAAATCAATCCAACATTAGGATTATTTTTGACTAAAATCATGAGTCAATTGAACCTAGACCACCATGGAAAATCTGGAAGCACTGGACGGCCGTTTCGTCCTAATATGAGACTCCTCAGCAGTGCGCATGCACGATTCCATGGTGGTCTAGCTTCAATTAACTCATGATTTCAATCAAAAACTTAACAATCTCCACAACACCTAAACTGATAAAGTATTATTATTTAACTCAAGTTAAAATAAATATTATAGAACAAAAATATTACTTACTGTTGCGGTTTGTGACGAATACTGAATTTTATTATGATTTCGAACCAATAGTCCGTTAGTTTTTACTGATTATCTAGTTTAATAGGGTTTATGATCTTACTAGCGCTCAAAATTCGTCACAAACAGCCATACTGATAATTTTTATGTGTTCATTAGTAAATTACTGCACACGTAAGTTTCCGAAGATTTTGTAACAAGCATTAACCAATGGAATCCAACTTTGTCAGATGTAGAGCAGTCACTCACAAAAGATAATTGGCGGTGGCTGTATAAGCTAGCAAACTGATCAAAGCTAGACGTGTAAAGATTGAATGATATCTTAGTGGTATCATGGTTAAGTTCTCACAGAAGATCTTCCTAGGACAATGAATACTCACTCTTGAGGAGTCCTATACCTTGGTGAAACAAGTGTCCGATGGTTCCTTTGTTTTCATTGATGTTTACCGCAAAGTTTTACTTTGGATTTTATGTGAAATGCAAAGTCAATAGCACTTATGTTTTACATATATTGATAATTTCAACCCTGATTAAGGATGTTAAGATGGGTTCATGATATACTCTCAGAAATCATTGACAAGTAATAACCATAAACTCAATAATTTGCTTGACCATAAAGAATTTAGGATGGATATTAATATAATTTATGAAGTGTTTTTCTAAATATACACTAGTCACTACATAAAAGCAGTGCCCGAAAATCAATGATTACTAGTATTTCATAAACTTTTGATTCACAAAACATATGGAACAAAATATTCCATGCAAGTAAACGTTTTTCTTCTTTCTTTTATTTTACAGACTCAGATTTTTTGTTGTTGTAAATGTCAACAGAAAAATGACAATTTATTACATGTTGACTTATCAATGATTAACTATTATTTACTTTTTATTACTGGTTTTATTTTATCACACAGATGACAGTCAGCAATCGTTTTGATTATTGACAGTATAAGATTTTAATCAATTGAAAAGAAATTTTCCTCGATTATTACCATTCAATCATCTCTAAGGATCAAGCAAACATCATAATGATCATCAAACATATATATATATATCTTACATGAGTTCATATTTTTTTAAACATAAACTTTTCAAACAAGACTAAGACACGGTACTTAATGATGTAATTCATATAGGAACCAAGATTACTTCACAAAGACCTAGACAATTAAAATGGTTTCTAATTTTATCTCAACCTATTCAAATTTTCAACTAAATATAATTCTTCATCATTATACATACATATAAATAATATCTTATCATCTTATTGCAAAACAATATATAATCTATACTTACCTTAAATATGAGGTAGATCGTTGATGTACAACAGAGAATTCAATTGCATCAAATAATTGAGTGATTACACCACCGGTTCTTAATGTTTGTTCACCCATATGACGTAACAATTCAATATTCATAAATTCATATCCATTATTATTATTATTATTATTATCTCTGGTACTACTATCAATAAACTGATCTGATATCTTTACACCTGTTGTCAATGAAATTGACATTTGAACACAAAATATCATCATAATACATAAACATATAAATGATTTATTACAAATTGTATTAGTAGTAGTAGTAGTAGTCGTTTTATTAGTAGTATTGTAAACTGAATAAAAATTTTCTTGTTTAATAAATTTATTATTTTTTATTAAATAACATTGTTTCTTTGAAATATTCTTTGATTTCCATAATAACCATAATGATGATGATGATGTTGATGTTGATAACGATGACGATGATTTTAAATAATATTTTTGATAATTAATTAAATAATAATAATAATCATTGATATAATGAATAATAAATTGAATAATTGAATAATTTGTATAATTCAATTTAATTGTAACACACTGATTACACATATGTTATACAATATCACTATACTGCATAAGTTCAATGTATTATATAGTAATAATAATAATAATAATAATAATAATAATAATAATAATTGATAATATTGTTTTATATAATTAATAATAGTAATAGAATAAATCAATAAAAGATAATTACGTAATTGTTTTCTAATTAGTTTATTAAAATAATTCAATGTTTTATGATGTAATGTTATATACATTTTCCCCCCTTGTTTTTCTTTTTTTTTTTTAAAAAAAATTATTGATCCAGTTCTGTTTGTTTCTTTGTTTGTTTATTTTCGTATCTATTTCTTTTCCCAGATTATCATCAATTCTGTTAACATTCGTTTTAAAAGTAACGCGGAAAAATTTCATTTATATGTTCAATATGCTCAATATTTGTTGTTGTTTTTTTTTAAAAAAAGAAGAATATAGTTTAAAAAATTTAATTTAATGTTTAATAGTAGATAAGAGAGAGAAAAAAAGATTATGATAAACAATTTTTCTCCCTTTTATTCCAAAATAAAATTTATTTATTATATTCCATAGTAATTAATATCACAATTATATTTATTATAAGTAAATAAATAAATAAATAAACATTATTTATTATGATGGTATATTGTGAAATTATGTAATAATTTCATTATTATTATTATTATTATTATTATTATTTCTAATACTGAATGAACATTTATATATATAAGATAGAAGATGATTATAAGTTGTTGTCAACTAATTGTCTTCACTTTCCAACTAATTTGTATTCGTTTATGCATTTATGTATTTATACATTACAATCATACAAATTTGTATACATATATACACATATACATGCATGTATACATGTCTGCATATGTGTACATATACTTATTTATGTAATTGGTCATGGATACAAGAGGGATATTGGAGAATGAATATTGTTTACATGGATGTTTACTAATATGTTTCTATGTATAATTTCATATGTCTGTGTCTCCATTAACCGCTATTTGTTCAAATCAAACCAGTCGGGTCTGTCCGTATTTTAATTTTTTTTACCAGTTATATATAAAATGTATTTTGCTTATTTATAATATACAGTTTGTATAGATTGTATACAAATTTTCACAGTTGTTTACGTGTACATTATGTTTTCTATTATCTAACCTTATTTTAATCCATCATCACAATTATTTTAAGATTTATATCTTATCACTTCTTTTAATCTAAACTAATGTTGTCTGTAGATGCGAATTCTAGAAAGAAAGAAATTCATGTATTTATATGTTCATTTAAAGCTCGTCACCTCATAGATTTCTTTTGGAATCAGTTGAATATAAGAAATTTATTTCTTTGAGTTGGTTATTGTCAAATAGGTGTATTCATATTCTCTCGAACCATTCTTTCATTTATAGATGAATCAACTAGAAACGGAATAAATATTTACAGTTTTCATTATTACACTGATGAATCAGAATGTCTAACGCTTATCGATTATAACAATTAGTGTTTACTATATATTAGAGATTTTTCTTTGTGAAAGTTTGCATTTTCTCATGGAAACGTACAAGGTTCAATTTTTTACATGAAGATCAATGCAGAAATGTAGGTACATCCAGCTGAAAAGTACCAAATAGAGTGGAAAGCAAATCTTGAATTCCACTGACACCAGCAATCCAACTTCATTTGGCAGTAGTTTTTGTAATTCTGAACTAGTCAGTTCTTTTAGTGAATATGTACAAAGTAAATTGTTAATTCTCTTGACCTTGTTACTAATACCTACCAATAGATTATAGAACGTTTTATACCTCAAATCTCACTCGACTAATTATATAATAAAGTCCTTATTTAATCGATATCGTCGATAGATCAATGTTGGACCACCATTTAAAACCTGGGAGTACTTGGTGGACATTTCGTTCAAAGTATGGGACTCCCTAGGGGTGCTCATCCACGATCACACACCAAAGAGACTCGAACCCAGGACCTCAGGTCTCGCACGCGAACGCTTGAACTCTAGACCAATGACCCGGTACCCAACGGAGTTCATATCCAACTTCAACCAACCCACAATATTGCACGACCCTCCACCATTATATTCAGTGAGTAATTGTCTCACAACAGACACGGTTGAACTCAACTGGCCATGGCTTCTCATTAGAACATCAGGAAATCCATTCTGAAGTCAGTCATCAGTGAGTACATGATAATTATCAGTATAGGGTTGTGGAGATTGCTGAGTTAAGATCAATATCATAACCCTATACTGATCCTTATTTAATATCAATTGGTGAATAGCTGTTTCACTACCAACGTAGGTAACTCTACACAGATCACGTCTTCTCTATAGAATCTTGAATACAAATCCATTTCACACTATCAGAGAAAAATATATTTCAAACTACTTAGTGTGTTGTGATTTTTACTAAATTACCGTTAGATTATCATTTTTACATAGAAGATAATTTCAAAATTGTATAAAATCACTATATGCACAATTTGTTTTCGTTTTATTCTACGTTTGATTCATCCTAATTTTGTAACTAATTTATTATTTATTTTTATTATACAAGTGAACTATGATAGTAGTGATGCTTTATTCTCTTCTCTGTTTTTCATTTTTTCTTAAAATAGCTTACACCTGGTACTCCTCATGGAGAAGAATAGGCCGCTCAACAGCAGTCTTCATCCAACTCTATCCTTGGCAAACATTTCTACTTGTTTTCAGTTACTAATCATTCTTTCCACGTCTGCATCCAATTCTCGACTCAGTGTGCTCTTAAGTCTTCCTTTTTTTCCATTTTCATTCAGGATTCCGAGTTAGCTCTTGGTTAGTGATGCAGTTTGATAATTTCTTCAATATATGACTTATCCACTTTCAACTTCTTTTCCTAATTTCCTCCTCAGTTGGGGGCGGGTTTGTTTTCTCCCATACTAGGCTGTTGCTGATGATATCTGGTCAACGGAAATAGAGTATCTTGCATAGACAATTGTCTATAAACACTTTTACATTCTTGATGATGGTTGTGGTAGTCCTTGAAGTTTCAACTCCGTTACAGCAGAACTGACTCTCTTGATGTTCGTCTTGAAGATTCTGACTTTGATTTTGGTCGACGGCTGTTTAGAGTTCTATGTGTTTTTCAACTATAGGAATAGGGCACTTGCTTTGCCAATCCTCACCTTTACGTCAACATCGGATCCTCCTTGTTCATCGGATGATAGTTTCGAGGTACGTGAAACTTTCCACATCTTCCAGAGTTTCGCCATCAAGTGTGATTGTGTTGTTGTTCTCCATGTTGTATTTGAGGATGTTGCTTTTTTCCCCTGTGTATGTTGCGGCCTACTGATGCAGACAGAGAATGCTGTTAAAATAGTTGTCTTCATCTGCATTTGTTCGTGTGTTGGATAGGATAGCTAGGTTATCTGCAAAGTCCAAATCGTCTAGTTGCATCCATCCTGCCCATTGTATTCCGTCCTTCCCGTTAGATGTGGAGATCTCTGCAATTCAGTCAAGTACCAGAAGAGAAAGAGAGAGAGTATGCAGCTTTGTCTGACTGCGGTCCCTACTTGGAATGTATCTGTCAGCTATCCTCCATGCACAACCTTGTAGTGTAATACATTGTATGAATTCCGTATGATAATGACGAGTTTCTCAGGTAAACCATAGTGAATGAGGAGAATTACTGGAGAATTATTGAATGCGATTTGTATTTTAATCAATGTTTTGAGTACACTTATCTAATTAGCTTAAAGTTTTAAATGAGAAATATATAACTAATTGAGAATTTTTCAACGAAACTTTACGGCGATCACTTCCTTGGATCAAAGCCATGATTTCAATACAAGATAGTGTTGAAATTTGTTAAGAATTTCATTATCAATTTTATATCATTCACGTTTTGTAATGTAAACATTAATTCGGTTCGAAACAAATCACCCACTTCTATATTCCTTGCTCAAGCACATGGATCTTGAATAGTAATTTACTTAAATATTAGTACCTACACAGTAGTGTTAAAGTCTAGCGAATGAATTACCGTACTACATTATACAATGATTACTTAGGAAAGGTTATTAAAATTTGTTTCCAAATATTTAGTTTAGGATCGGTACAGAAAGATAATGGGGGTTGTTGAACTTTAAAGTTTACACCAGAGACGTCTTATTCCGAAAACCATTAAAAACTAAGAAGTATCGGACAGCTACTTCATCCGAATACGGCACTTCTTGACACTGAATATCCACGAGCTCATCGACAATCGAATCAAATTAAAAATGCAGTATTAGGACCTAACTCGGTGATTTCAAGTTTAAGCACTTAATGCCAGTCCTAAGGATCAAAGGTACGATCCCTGGTGAGTTTACATATGTGCACTACTGAGGAGTCCTACATTATGATAAAACATGTATCCAGTCTTTTATGGTTTTTTAGCTCTCTAATTACAGTCAGTTCATGACTTAGACTATTAAAATTTAATATCTGATAAAAGTAATCACTAACTTGGTTAGAAAAATAAATGATTATGTTATGTAATTTAATGTGGATAGACATTTACTGCGTATTAAAGAAACTCTTGATGAATGAGTAGGAGAAAGCAAAAAGACAAAGTCATATAAAGTATTTCGAAGATCTCTTTCAAACATTTGTGGTATAATGGGATAAGAAAGGATAACATTATTTCAGTCAGAATTTTTTTGAATGAATTTTTTATGAATTTCAGCAAGGGCGGCAGCCGCGAACTTCGTTCAGTGCGACAATTATATTCTCTGTACCAACTCAGTAATGTATGTTTGCTGTGCGTGTATTTTCACAGTAACTCTAGATAGAATAGATGGAACGTCGCTAGCAATGAAATCCATGATTCTGGCTTCGTCATTTTTGCGACTCATCAGCTGAATGTATCCGAGCATTTTAAATTCATTCAAGTAATTATAAATATTTCCTACCTACATGTGATATTATTGTGTGTAAATACTACTACTCAAATGACTGTATTTTGGTCTAATAATGACGTAATTTTGGAGAG